TGAGCCAGAACTGCAGCATTAGGTTACAAGGGGCTCACAATCAATCACCAAGCAAGCTGACACACACACACACACACTCACTGAGCCTTCCGCGCAAATATCACTCACATGCCTTCTGAAACGACTTCACCTGGCAAAATGCAAATTTCATGCCAGCCCTGCCCCCCCCCCGGCTCTGTCAAAACATGCCAGGCAGACCACTTGAGCCAGAACTGCAGCATTAGGTTACAAGGGGCTCACAATCAATCACCAAGCAAGCTGACACACACACACACACACACACTCACTGAGCCTTCCGCGCAAATATCACTCACATGCCTTCTGAAACGACTTCACCTGGCAAAATGCAAATTTCATGCCAGCCCTGCCCCCCCCCCGGCTCTGTCAAAACATGCCAGGCAGACCTTGCCATTGATGCTACCACAATAGTTATACTACCGCAAATCATGCTACCACAATTAGCGCTACCACAATTGTTGCTACCACAATTGACAAATTGATGCTACCAGAACTGATGCTACCAGAATTGATGCCACTGCAAAATCGAATCAACCAAGCCAAGCAATGCCATGCTGACTACCACAGTTGCTGCTACCAGAACTGATGGTATCAGAATTGATGCCACCGCAAAATCGAATCAGATGCCACCGCAACAATCGAAGCAATCAAGCCATGCAATGCCATGCTGACTACCACCATTGACATTGATTGATGCTACCAGAATTGATGCCACTGCAGCATCGAATCAACCAAGCCAAGCAATGCCATGCTGACTACCACAATTGATTGATGCTACCAGAATTGATGCCACTGCAGAATCGAATCAACCAAGCCAAGCAATGCCATGCCGACACAGTAACGGCCTCCCCAGCGTCTTTGCAAACACGAGTGTGCTCTGACAGTCATGCGGACTGGAGACTTCTTTAAATGCCACCCCCATTCGGCCAAGATGGGGTCACCCTGCTGAGTATGCGCCGGCAAATCAGATGCGGAGCGCTGAAATCCAATTGCCTTGCATACCGGCCCGCAAGAGGACAGGTCATGCTCGTCATCGAGTGCACCGGAATCGCTGCGCAACGCGCCGGTTACTGAAGACCTGTCAATGAGGCACAGCATAAGATGCCATGCGGGGCCATGCCGGCAAGCAGCAGTGATCGAAGTTAATATTTCGACCGTGGTGTGGGTACGTGGCATAGTATTTATTAATAGTAGCGAGGCCTTCCCTGCAATCTGTGTGCATTTCACCCCGCGGCGGACACACCACCTGGCTGGACAGGCGAGCAGCACACAGAGTAAATCCCCAGCGCCCGGCCAGCGACGCTGTCCCACACGGATCAAGGACCCATTGCTCACGTGGTCCGAGCCCGACTGGAGCGGTCTCTAAGACCACTCTGAGCTTGGGCGTGCAGGATGGGTAGGGCGAGTCGAACCAAGCCAAGCAAGCCAAGCAAGCCAAGCAAGCCAACCAAGCAACCAAGCCAACCAAGCAGTGGCACGTGACAAAGGACCACGTTTCAGCTTCCAACACATCCGGCTTGGACAGAAGCGAACACCATCGCTCAATACATCCGGCTTGGACAAATGCAAAAATGTTTGGCAAAAAAGGGTTTCCTCACGCTGGCTTCCCAGTGTGCTTTAAAATGTTTTGGTCAACGGCCGTGCCCCCGGCACTGAAATTCCTAATAAAATACATAAATAAGCTAATACTACAACTGCTTGAAACCTTAAATCGGTATATTGAACTGCACTATTGAGGAAATTGGTTTTGGCCTTCAAACCCCCCTGATCCAGCCCCCAAGGATCCAACCCTCAAAACGAGTGTGTGGATTTTTACCCTGAAGCATTCTACAATTTGTTGCTCATGTCGCTGTTTCCTTTTACTGATGCGTTTCAGACGCCTGCACATCCGTGTGTTCCATCTTTGCCACAGCTTCATCGCGAGAAAGATTGTAAGCCCCGAGTCCCACTCGATGTGCTGATGCACGAGTCCGGGATGAAAGAGGTAAAGATTCCAGGTTTAGTTCATCGGCTTCTTGATCGGAAGGAGTGGGCTGGGCAGCCAGGAGCGTATGAAGCCATAAAGAAGGAGAAAGACGGGCTTGTAGGTGTAGGCACTTGGCTAGAGGATGAGATAGTGTCGAAGAACAATGTTCTCGCCTGGGCCACAAGGACTTCAAATGTTATCCATTTTGGAAATTCGATGATCATTTTATCCGTGAAAGGATCTGAGCTGATTCCAGATCAGTGGCGACTCAAAGCTCGGATCGTGTTTCGCGGTGCGACATCAGGGATCAGTCAGGTCTGTCAGCAGTCTTCGAGGAGTTCTTCGCTTCGTCTCCGTCCTCTCTGAGGTATTGAGCACTGCAGTTGCGTTTGGTTTGCTTGAGTCTCACGGCGTTACGACCAGTGATGCTGTGCGAGCCTACACTCAGAAGCAAGAAGCACATCTTCCGACCTTTACAGACATCCTGAAAGCTCTGCAGCAGCATCTCCAGGAGATTTTGTTGAAATTCGGCGGAGAAGAATTTCCAAACTTTCATTCGGCTCACTTCTTCAAGTCTCTAGGTTTAGGTTTATGTGTCTACGTAGACGATTTGACTCTGTCTGGCCGTCGGTCGTTGCACGATGGTTTCAGGCGCTCCCTTTCACAGCAGGTCGAGCTCGAACCATTCGCACCCTTGACCAGAGTCCTAGGGCGCTGCCATAGGTTTGTGTTTTGGCAGCAGAAGAAAGCTTTAGCTCTGGAGTCAGCTGACTTCGCCAAACAATGCGTGCAGTTGTACGAATCGGTAGCTTCGTTGACGGCCAGTTGACTGAGTCTGCGGCTAGGATCCTCATGAAAGTTTTGAAGTTGGCCGGCTAGGCTGAGCCGTCCCGATTTGCTTGTCGCCGTTACCACTCTTGCCTCCCATGTTTGTTCTTGGAGTAAGAATGTGCGAATCCACAGGCTCGTCGGGTACATTCTGAACTCCGTTGATTGCGCAATGATCTTGTGCATCAACGGTCCTCCTTCCGAGCTGCGGTTATCGCTTTACTGCGATTCCGTTTTCGCTGGTTGTGTTGACACCTCACGATCAACAAGTGGGTACGTGTTAGCCATTGAAGGTCCTTCCAGCTTTGCTCTGTTGTCTTGGCCGAGCTGCATATCTGTAGCTGAAAAGTTCTTCTGATCCCAAACAGAGATGATACTATGTTAGGGTAAGAACAAGGAGGACGGGAAGGGAAACCACAAAAGGAAGCCCGACACTGAAGGCAAGAGCGAGACTCAAAAACGCTCTTTTTCATCTTACGCCAAATGAGTAATGGCGTAGCAGATATTACACAGTCAGGCAACATCACTTGACATGGAGGTTGTTCGTAAATCTTCAACTCCCCCCTCCTGACTTGGAAAATTTGTACATGACTGCATGGTGGAGGTGATCAGTCTCCGTTTTAATTTAGAACTCGAGGAGGCAACAGCTCTGACCTACCGTAGATTCCCCGCGTGAACTTCCCTGTGGCGAATGGAGCAGCCTAAAAGGAGAAGGATTCACACTGACAAAGGAAGTCGTCACGACATCCTCACGCGCAATGCTTAGCAAAGTGCAAACGCGATGAGAAGCTTAGCTCCTCGAAGCTTGACTCAGATGCACAGCTTTTGATGAAGTGCAAGTCGCAAAAAGCTAAACTGATTGCGGACTTTCGCAACTCAAACTACATCAGGCAGACGCACGGTAGCAATGGAAAGTAGCTCAAGTGCTCGAGCCCACTTCTGAAGGGGCAGGATCTTGGTCAACGGGTCGCCTCGTTGACACGGAGTGTTGATGTAGGAAAGCAGGATGCTCGGATTGAGGTTAACGAGCTCGCAAGTAGCGGCTACGTTTACACGGTGAGTTTTGGTTAAGGCTTCGGTACTCGATCGTGACACGACCTTCTGGAGCATTTGCAGCTTGCTGGGATTGCAGGTGCTGAGTTTCTGACCCAGCGAGCACAAGTATGTCCACGAAAATTCGCGGAAGCACTCCTCAACGGCTTCTGTGAAGCGTCTTTTGTGGGATCAACTTTGTGCTGACGGGTTCTTCATGAGCCCTACCACTCCCGCCCTCCGCCATACCTGTTATGGGGGTGGGGATGTGATTGGCCAAAGCCCATGTAAACATGTTCACGGGACCGCACAAGATGTGCGCTTGCTTATCCTACGCATGGGAGTTCCGAGATACAGATGGACAGTCGAGTGGGTGCACAAAAAGGAGTGTCCCGTTATGCGTCTAGTCAGCAATTTACAGCAATATTGTCCAGGTGTGTCTTGGCCTGATAGCCTAATAGCCATGTCTGGTTATCCCTGGACTGTTTAAGCAGGCAGGGACGTCTCCCTTTGATCTCCTATCCAAGCAGCAGTATTGTTACCAGTGGAAGGCTGAGTGGAGCCACTGCCCCCTGGTTTTTGAAGCCTTTGACTGGCATGGCTTTGTGTTATTGCTACCCTTGGTAACAGGGTTCCCCTGCAAAAAAGAGTACGAAACAGCTATGCTACGGCAGTCTCCGGATCGAGAACCACATTTCCACCTGGATGGGTTGCAGCGTAGCAAAGTCGGTAAACTTCAAGAATGACATGTGCTGTCCATTTAGGACAAGCTAAGCAGCTTTTGTTTTTACGCGGCCGAGTGCGCCTACGTAGCAGTTTTCAAGTCTGATGCCTCAGCAATTAGCTAAGCTGCCACCAGGACAGCTCGAAGCTGCTCGTAGATGGCCAAGTTATCGCTTGTGCCGGGACGGTCAAGGTACTACGATACGACAAGGGTGAATGGGCCAGCGCAGTGCAGAATTTTACTATCATATGGCAGGTTTAAAGCTTCACGGAAATACGTGCTTGCATCCACGCTGCCCGAGTTCTATCGACTCTGGTTCCTTGATGTTTGCCCTAGCTCTCACGGGGTTTTCCGCCTCCTCTCCAGGTAAGACTTTTTTTGAAGGATGTATGCCCCTCCGCCTTTTGGGGGGCGACTCTCAGGCTCGAGACGATGCCGCCGGAGGGCATCGCTCGCATCGCCGACACCTTGCAGAAGCGGACTTACCAGCCCAAGGAGGACCGCAGAGAAAGCACAGCACAGAGCCCTAGCCGCTAGGCCATTTTTCGGCCTTCGGCCTTGGGCTTTGGGCCCCCAGCCGACAGGACATCATCCGGCAGCATGAGGAGGGCAAGGAGTTCTTCATCATGCTCTCGGGCGTGGCCACGGCCGCAGCCGGGGGAAGCTTTTCAAAGGAGCCTGAGAGCGATGATGAGCGATGATGAGACCTTCGCCTCAGGCACGGGTATGGGTCCGAACAGGCCGTGGCTTTGTGGCAGCGAGCCCTCCCGAAGTGTCTTGCTCTGTGACAGGCAACGACGAGCAGGAATACAAGCGCTACAAGGCGGGAGATCTCTTCGGAGAGCCGGGCTCTCGGCCCCGGCTGCCTCAGGCTGCCCCCAGCTGCCCCCAGCCGCCCCCAGCTGCCACGGCCGCTCGGTACCACCGCGCCGAGGCTCGCGCTGCTGAAGAACGCCCCGCGGGCGGCCTTCGTCTCTGCGGTCACCAGCGTCGAGGTGCAGCGGCGCAGATGGAAATGTACAATATAGTCGGTGCACAAGTCGGCGTTTTGCTGCGTGCTGAGGTGCTGGCCCTGACCCGGAAGCAGTTCGAAAGGCACGGCGTACGGCCACGGCCCGATCATCCTTGCCTCCTCCGCTTCCTGCAGGCTTTTCGGGCCAATGACGGACCTGCAACAACAGCAGTACCTGACGGATCCCAGGCTGCGGCCCCGGGCCAGGGCCATGCAGGGGGAAACCGGGGGAGAGGGGCGCGGGCGGAGCACACATCTGCTGTTGTTTCACAGGAAGCTCATTGCAGACTTCTACATGGCCGGGGACGCTCGAGGACCCCGCGGCAGTCTGAAGCTGCATCAGTTGGCGCCCGGAGCCTCTATATACTCTAGCGTTTTCGACGGGGTCTCTGCAGGCAGCCGGAACTATCTGCAGTGCCCAGGCCAGATGCCAAAGCTCACGGCGAGAGCACCTGGCCTTCCGCCCAGCTATCAGGGTCGAGTCTCACAATGCCGTGCTCTTGTGGTTGAAGAGCGCGCGCTGCAGGTTTGCGGTGTACCGGCCTACCAGCAAGGACGCCATTGCCAAGATGCTGTCTGGGGTCGCGGTGCGCCGCACCCTGCCCCTGCACACCTCGACGCCCCAGGATCCCACACTGCGTCACTGCGTTCTGTCTGAGGTGGGCAAAGGCTTGAACGTGAAGGGCAAGTCCGCGAAGAAGGGAGCCCGGGCCTCGGGCATTCCCGGGCCTTCAGCCAGACTTCTCAACTGCTGGCCTTGCCAAGCTCAACTCTCTGGCAGGTGCTCTCTGGCTTCGTGCCCTTTATCCAGATCTCGGACAACGACCACCGGTCCATCATCGAGCAGACGGGGCCCAAGCTGGTCCAATGTCAGCCCTCCGTGCCCTGCGAAGCAGAGAAAGCATCTGCCGGCTCCTCTCGAGGTCTCCGCGCGAGTCGCGGGTGACTGTCTACTACAAGACCAAGGCTGCGGAGAAGCGGGGAGCGGAGTGGAGCAGAGAAGTGGGGCGCGCGGCGCTTCGCTGCAGGCCTCGCGGCAGGAGGCGCAGAAGCTCCTCCAGGCCCCCCGGAGACGTGGAAGTCCGTCTCGTCTCTTCCCACGTCTTCTCTCGTTTTTTCGTGCTCGAGGCGGCCTTGGAAGACACGAGCTTGGACATCGAGGCCACTGCCGGCCGCCGCCGGAACGGAGCTCTCCCGAAGTCGGCGGGGGGCCTCCGCTTTGCTGAGAGGACCGGTCCCTTCGTCTCGTCGACGACTTCCAGCCGGGCGCCCGCATACCGCGGCGCTGCGGCGCTGCCATCTCCTCTCCTCGCCCTCTCCTCTTTCTTTCTCAAACTCTTTGTTTCTTTCTCTCCTCTTTCCAGGCCCGAGAGTTGGGGCCTGGACCTGCCAGAGCCGCTGATCCGCCAGAGCCTCGCCGGGGCCGCACTCTCTTCATACGTGCTCTGCGTGCTGCTGCATACGTGCCTATACTTCAAAGTCTCCCCCGCCGTAGCCGTACTATACTGAGTCTGCAACTGCAACACTTTATACGAGAGACGCACCGTGTCTTATGGCGAGTGTTGCTCGTATGAGTCTCTGAAGTTGGCAGACTACCGTGAGACTACCATGACGCAGCAGCCAGGACGTCGTGCAGCTCCGCCCGTTTTTTGCTGTGTTGGGCACCATTTCAGCGAGGTGACCAAATTTCACACTGCTTTCCGCCGCAGACTTGATAGACTTCCGGCGGAGTGAATTGCGCCAAGAAGCGCGTGCTTTCTCCAAGCAGCTGCTGCGTTGTTGTGGCATAAGAAGAGCGCGGTCACGTTGCAGCGCACAGCTGTGCAGCACTGCAGGATTAACAGAATTGCAAAACGCTGTAAATTCAATCCTGCAGCATTTTGCAGTAGCACTTTGCGCACAAGGAGCGATGCCTTCAGCAGAGGGTTTGCCGCCAGAGACGCCACTTCACAAACCCGGACACACAACGCAGGCGACGCGCAAAGACCCGCTTGAACTCTCCGACTCGACGGAAGGATTGTATCAGTGAAGATGGTCCTGTCTCCTGCAGGGTCACAGTCAGAGAAACGGAAGGGCAGGGTTGCTCACGGATGCAAAGCAAGAGGTCCTGTAGAATGAGAATGGGGTGAAGGGGAGGCGCGTCTTCAGTATTGTCGGAGGCAATACCAGCGAGCGATGCTCCAAGACTCTCCGAAGTGTATTAAACATAGGTATCCTTGACTTTATCGGAAAGGCATTCAGACCGGGATTCGTTGTTTCGCAGGCCGAGGCGACAGCCAGCCAATCAGGTATGCACATGTTCCGGTAAGAGGCCAAGCGAAGCTCAGTACGTTCGGCACGGATTTAGAGAGGTGAGTCGGCGACTTTGGTTTGGTTGGATTGCAGGTAAAGATGGTTGAAGCTACAGTTTTAAAGTGGCGGCCTTTGTGAAAGGAGCTTCTGCTCCGAAGAGACCGCCCTGTGGTCTAGAGTCTAGCAGTTTCGCTGAGCATGGTCAGCTTGGGGCTGCACGAAGCCGCGCGGCCACCTTCACGGCAAGAGAAGCTGATTCAAGGCGGCTGTCGACAAGAACGGATTGCCAACACGCAAAAGACCTCCCGAAACCGTCGATGATTGCCACTGACCAAAGAACCAGAAGTGGCCCGCGAAAGCAACAGGAAAGTGGCAAGTACCTAAGGTTGAAGTAAGATTTTCTTTTGTGTGGCCCGTCCATGCTACCGCGTCCATGCTTCCATTCGGGCGGTTATCGAACATATACACACACACAGAATCGCAGTGTGGGAAGCGTCGCGCACAATGCATGCTCCCATATCGCGCTCTGGACAAGAAAGCTTGCTGATGATTGGGTGGCAAGGACGGCTGCACGCTAGCACAGTGGCGGGCCTGAATAAAAGTGTGTTAAACACAGCAACGGTTCGGTGAAAATAGATGAATCGAGGACAGTGTGCTGAGCGTAGCAACCGTGCATGGTTCCAGCGATCAGTTCAGCAGACGCAAAATGGCTAAGTTGGCTAAGTCCAGGCGAAATGTACATCGTGCGATCGGACCTGACGCCGGTCATGGGCTTGGCGCCCAGCTACTTTTGCGGAGAGAGAGGCAAGCCGGCATGAGAAGATACTTCAGAGCCTCTTTCGTTGGAGTGTCCGAGTTTCACCGGGGCAGTTGGCCTTTGGCCAGGGTTTTCCGAGGTTGGGAGACCGGGAGGCGTTCGGAGCCAGCTTTCATGGACATGAATTTGCACGCCATCCGCGGGAAATCCGAGCCCCAGGTGGGCCTGGAGTTGAGGTCATAAACGAGAACTCCAGACTCCAGACGTCTGGTCTAGCAGCCTGTTTGCAGGTGGTCCTGTACCAGTACGACGAGAGCGACCCGATGAATCCTCGTGGTTTGCTCATCGCGTGAGACCTCTCAAGACTTCATTTAGCTGTGCTGCCAGACTCGGCGTCCCAGCTCTCGTTTCTTTGCCCAGCCCTAAATGGCGATGGTCAAGGCCCTGGAAAAAACACGTGGCAAGGAAGGTGGCTCTGGTCATCCCAGGGCGGTAGCGCACCCTTCCTTCAATCAGAAACTTGCACGAATCGGTAGTGGTAGTAGTATGTAAGTATGTAAGTATGTAAGTATGTAAGTATGTAAGTATGTAGTAGTAGTAGTAGTAGTAGTAGTAGTAGTAGTAGTAGTAGTAGTAGTAGTAGTAGTAGTAGTAGTAGTAGTAGTAGTAGTAGTAGCAGTAGCAGCAGTAGCAGTACCAGTAGCAGTAGCAGTAGCAGTAGCAGCAGCAGCAGCAGTAGTAGTAGCAGTAGCAGTAGCAGTAGTAGCAGTAGTAGCAGTAGTAGCAGTAGTAGCAGTAGTAGCAGTAGTAGCAGTTGTAGTGGTAGTTCTGGTGGTAGTGGTAGTGGTATTTAGTAGTAGTAGTAGTAGTAGTAGCAGTAGCAGTAGCAGTAGCAGTAGCAGTAGCGGTAGCGGTAGCAGTAGCAGTAGTAGCAGTAGTAGTAGTAGTAGTAGTAGTAGTAGTAGTAGTAGTAGTAGTAATAGTAGTAGAAATAGTAGTAGTAGCAGTTGTAGTTGTAGTAGTTGTAGTAGTAGTGGTGGTGGTCGTAGCAGTAGGCACGCCCCTACCAACAATGTTTGCTCTTAATTATGTTAGGACAACATCCATGTGGCTCGGTATTTGCAACACTTTCGTCACCGGTAGAACTTCACGAGAGTCCACAGTGTGGGTCACCTTCAACGGATTCTCAGGGCTCACGTTGGCCAGAACCTCCTCAGCTCCTCAGCGAGCTCATCTTCGGAGACCTCGATGAACCACATCACCTGCTCTGCCTCCTCGACTCTCATCATTGCAACCCTCAAGGTCCTCAGGTCGTGGATCTTCTTCACTAGTAGGCCCGTGTCCGCCTCTATCTCCTCCGGCTTGATCATCCCTTGGCACTCGTCGAACGATCACTCGCCGATGGACCCACAAGATAATCATCTCCTCCACGTTCAACACATCGTTGCGGATCTTGAAGGCCCTGATGAAGCTTGCTTCCCTACCTTCCAAGTCGTAGTTTGGCACCCTGTAGGACCTCAGAGCCAACAACCTTCCAAACTCTTCTCCCTCTTCGGACACCAGGTAGATCCTTGGACGTTCAGCCCAATCTCGCCCCAGGTCCGCCACAATCGCTGCCGCGATCACTGAGTTCAGGTCTCCGTCCACCGGCTGTACCTGACGTCACCTGGTTGCCATCTCCGGAATGTAGGGGTCCAGGCCATACCTTGCACTCGTAGTCACCCACTCCTCTTCAGACATCCTGATGTGCATCACTTAGACTCCACGGTCTCCAGCTCAAGGTCCGACCTGCTCGCCGCCCTCGTTCTCTAAGAGCTTGCACATCCTTGGCTCGTCCTCCACAGTCAAAGGTAACGGGAAACCCAAATCCAAAGCCATGTCCTCGTCCACCTTCTTTATCTTGTCCAAGCCCCGGACCGTGTAGACCGCTATCACGACTCGTTCTCCTTCCCATGGCATGGTTGCGTGCCACTGCCTGGAGTCAAAGGAAACCACATTCTTGATCCCCTGCAGCCCTGCAGAGGATGTACTCGCCCTCGCTGCCCAGTCAACGTCACCACTTCACCTTCATCAACATCCTCGGTCGTGGCCAGCTGTGTCCAAAGGCCACCTTTCTTGAAGTCTGTGATCGGGATCGAATGGGAGTACTGATCCCTAGCGTTGTGAGAATCCCGATGCCTCTTCACATTGAGGTTCCCGTGGAGGGAGAAAGTCGACCAGGTCGTTGACGTTCCAAGCTTCCGTCGGATGTACTGGTTGATGAGCCTGGTTGAGTAGGGAAATTCCTTAGTTGAGTTTCTCAAAGCCAACCCGCCACCATGTCGGAACTCTCCAGATGCCCAGGCATTTTGACTCCCCTTTGGGCCATCGAAGTCCACAGTTTCCCTTGAGAACCTCTGATTTGGTAGAAGATCAAAAAGCCGCTTCACAACCACCTCGTCCAATCTCCTCCTGTGCATTTTCACCTTCATGGCCCCCAACGTTGTGCCCTGGGTTCTTGGCCGAAGACCGCCACCCGGGGAGCCGACTTGCCAACGATCTTCTCGTCGCTAGAGGGCTGCCCACACCTCCGAAGACCCTGTCGTTGAGTGGAGCCCTCTGCTTCTGCTCCCAGGCTTCTCGAGAAAACAAGGGGGGCTCTTCTGGTGGTCCCCCTGACGTGCTGAGTTCGCGCGACGCTGTGGTAGCTCCTCATGCGGCGGCCGAAACGCAGTGGAGATCCCTGCATCGATCTTTGACTCGTAGCTGCTGCCGGCTGTTGGCTTCGTGTCGGTGTGGCTGCTGGCGTCGCACTAAACCCAACAGAACCTAGCACAGACTGACCTTGGTTTGCCAGGAAGTCGTTCAACCTCGAAATCCAGCGTACAACATTGTTGCACTTCCATGTCAGCCCTTACCGCATGCACCTCCAAAGCCATAGTCGCAGCTACAGATGCTTGACATCCCATTGCCATCTGTCCAGGTCCTGCCACCTCGCCAGACTGGCCAACTGGGTCCTCATGCACTGTCACTGCTTCACCTGCTCTAGAGGGGCTTACATGCACCGCAATCTGTTCTGAGCTGCTCATCGAGGCCTGAGTTCCCATTTGGTAACCCAACAACGGAGCCATACGTTGCTTCAGCCCTTTGCGGATCTTCATCTTGCGTAGCGGGAGCGCTTGGGCTCATCACCTGAAGAGCGGGGACATTCCCCGACCCTTCAGCTGAAGTCAACATGCGGTCTCGTCGCCTTCTCAGAATCGTTCCAAGCTATCGGATGGTCCCCAAAAAAATCCCAGAAACCATGGAACACAGCACGCGGCCCTCTACTTCGGTTTTTCGCGCAAACACCAAGCTGCGAGCTTCGAAGCTGGAGCATCCGCGCCCATCTGGCTTGTATGTTTGCCTATGCGTGTCATGCGAGCCTGCTAGCTACACATGACGTGTCTGCTTCAAGCCACATGGCCTTTCGCACAAAACGGTCCTGACATGGGCACCGGCTCCACCAGCACCAACGCTATACATAAGGCAGTGCTTCAGGCTTCAGCAGTAGTAGTGCTAATAGTAGCAGCAGCAGGAGGAGTAGTAGTAGTAGTAGCAGCGGCAGTGGCAGTAGCGGCAGCGGTAGCGGTAGCGGTAGCAGCAGCAGAAGGAGCAGCCTTAAGTTCATCATCACCACTCGTATTGTCATTGTTTTGTATGTTTGCTAGACGGCTTTGCTCAGATATTTCGCAGAGTTTTTTCAGACGCGTGCAAGTGATTTGCAGCCCCTGGACGCGTTACCAGACGTTGTATGCTTGTTTTTTTTTGTCGTGTTAGTGGTAGTGGTGGAATCAACAATTACCAATCCGTTGCAGTACATCTGCAGCCAAGGGTCCAAATATAATTCTAACGGCAGAGGCATGCACGCTTCATCTAATTTGCCCAATGACAGGAGAGGAGATTAAAGGTGGTTAAACATATAGGGCAAACGACTTAAATTGTTTGTGTTTTGTTCATGTCTTGCGTGGCTTGAGAATAGCTTATAAACAAGCATTCCCAGTAGGCACTGGGTTTCCTTTGGTTCATTGTTGTTTCTGTGGTTTTCTCGTGTTTTAACTTCAAACTGTGGTTGGAACTGGTGTCCAGGACCCAAGTTTTTATTCGTTAAATGTACACCAGTCCGTGACTTACCCGAAACAGGGTGTCTTTTCCTTCACCTCCCTTACCATTGTCATCACCCAGGACAGTGGTAGTGGTGGAGTAGTAGCAGCAGGAGGAGGAGGAGGGAGCGAAGCAGGCGTAGGAGTCGTCGTCGTGCTCCGTTTCGATTTAGTCCTTCGTGAGAACGCCTCTGCGCTGCTTCCGACAAGCCTGGAATGCGAGCCGACACGTGATAGGTCGACAATTGTCGAGAATCTGCCGAACAGTGCGAGGTATGCAGAGGCCCACGTGAAGCCGGTGGTTTCGGACTTCGACACCTTCACGGTTGGCAGTCGAGGACTCCCGGCTCCAAGTCTACTGGAGGGTCTCTCTTGTCTCTTGATGCCGTCACATTTGCTTCATCCTCCTTCATATCTGCAAGGCATGCGCTACAGCCAGCTGCCAGCGGATCAGGAGAGCCGCAGAGCCCGCACCGCCATGTGGCCATGCCCGTGGCCCAGGCCAAGCTCATCACGTGGCTGCTGCAACGGACGCAAGAAATCCTGGGGTCCCTGGACCACAACCCCTGGACTTCTCGGTGGCTGGAGGCGAAGAAGAGAAAGGGGGCTTGCAGTCCTTCGCAGCTTGCGTCCCGCAGGTCTTGAAGAAGGAGAACGAGAAGGAGGCCGCTGAGTCGCTGAGAGCAGAGATGCGCGCAGCAGGGTTCGGTTCGTTGCGTTGAGACTTCCGCGAGATGTCTGAGGACGGGGTCCACCCAGAGCTGCCCAAGTTCGGCTTCGGGGATCCCACCTCGTGCGCCCAGCGCATCTCCGCATGCGCATGCAGCGCATCCACATGCGAGGGCATGCGGCGCGGCTCGTCGCTGCAGGTACCAGCTCATAGCTGACGTCGTGGCAGAGACTGCCCCTTGTGGTGCTGTCCGCCACGGTGCCGAGTGTAGCCGGGACCCTTACACAGCGGCGCGCGCGCGCGCGCGCGCACCGCGCTGCGGCGTGGCGCGAGCCGAGGCAACTTCTACTTCCCCCAGGCCGGGCTGCCGCGGGCCGCCGCGGGCCGTGCTCTCCCAGCTGAGCTCCAAAGCGCTTTCGCGACTCGGCGTTCGCAGGAGCTGGACGACGAGTTCCTGGTGGTTTGGCACGGCTTCAACGAGATGCATGGCAAGCGGGGCACCCTTGGAGAACTCCCTCTCCGAAAGCGCTGATCGCTTCCCTCTGCGAGGCCTTGGGATTACAAGGACGAGTCCAGCCTGCGAGCCTTCCTGCTAGAGCGCATCGCCGAGGGCTACTCCTTCCCCTTGAACCCGGCGGGGGGGGGGGGAGTGGGGGGAGATCGAAAGCACAGCACGGCTCTGAGCTCTGCACAGCAGCCGAAGCTCCTGAGAGGTCTGGCCCCTGCGGGACAAGGGCTGGTTCGAGGTCTTCCAGGTGAGAAGTGCGCAGTAAATGAGACACCTTCAGAGGCATGAACGAAGCTCTTGAGAGGCTTTGAACGCCTCGGAGCATGGGGCCCAGGACCTTCAGTCCTGGTTCCCAGCCGAGGCGAGGAGGAGATGTGAGCACTGTCAGCAGTGTGGGGGCACTCTGCGCCTCAGAGCTAAAAAAACGCTCCGTCAGCTGGACTACACGAACACCATCGAGCGGCTACACGCCAAGTTTCCAGAGGGTTTTCGCCTCGTCCAGAAGTGCCGGTCCCCCAGCAAGCCAGCTCCGCTTCTGCACTTCTGACAGCAAACCCGGAAGGAGAGTCATACGCTGGAGAACATCGAAGCTGGCTTTGATGGTTTCACCTGCACACATTTACGGGGAGAGCCCGAGCACGCAAGGAGCAAGGATGCAAAATCCGAGACGAAGACGAGAATCCGAGCTCTGAGCCTCCCTCAATTCGAGTGGCGCTGCGACCCGGCTACTGCCGGCGGCGGTGGGCTGCCTACATTCAAAAATAACTATAGTTTACTTAGAAGGATTGACCGACTGTGTTGACATTTATGGGCCACTATGTAGCACATGGCCTGTGCCTTGAAGTCTTGAAGCTTTGAATGGCCTTCGCGAGGCGAAAGGGTCCGATGCTGTTTGAGCACCTTATCGACGGCGTGGCACGTGCCCGTGCCGTGCTGGCCAAGGGTGACACTGCCCCGGCCAGCTCTTGAAAAGAGCCTTTACCAGGGGGTGAGTTTTTTCGTGACTATGAGACGCCGCATCTCCCAGAGGGAGTCGTGCTTCCACATCACATAAAATGAGAGAAGGAAGGGGAAAAACACGGTGTGACATGTGGCAACATCTCTCTGCAGAGTGTAGCGGACACATTGTGACAGTGACGATCTGCGCGGCAGCTCCGCAGCTTTAGGGTCAAGTTTCAGGAGCTCCCCCCCAGCATGGCATGAGGCCATGGCAAGCGGGAGGGAGAGAGAGAGAGAGGGGGGGGAAGCAAGCAAGAGCAAGCAAGCAAGAGCGGGGGTAACATAGGAATGGCTTGTAGCTAGATAGCCAGGGGGATACAAACCTTCGTTCACACCCCTGCAACACCCCACAAAGCATGGGGGGGCCTTAGTGTCTAAACCGCCCCTCATGCCCGGCAGAAGAAGGGAGAGAGCGAGAGCTGCAGCTCCGTACGACTGCAGGCCGATTCTGTTCGGAGCGGGCTCGGAGCGGCAGGAAAACTTGCCTCCGACATTCGTAGTGGCACAGTCTTGGGCTGCAGCGGAGGGCGTCTGCCGCCTAGTGAAGCTTCTCTGCGCAGGGGGGAGGGTGGCCAAGGTGGCCCATCAACACGGGGAAAACGGCGGAGCTGTGGAGAAATCGTCGGGACGAAACCTGGAGCACTCCGAGGACCGTGCAGGTGCACAGGATCTTCAAACCTGGGAGCGGGGGCTCTCGCAGGGACGAATTCTTATAAGGCCCCAAAGGCCCCAGACAAAAGCCTAGATGACAACGTCCAGCGCTCCAGCCAGTGCAGCATCGCATTGAGAGCGGCATGGTGCACTGCAAGACGAAGACGGGAGGCATCTAGTCCTTGGGGCGCTTCGAGCGAGCCGGCGAGCGCCACCTGTCCTGCGCCCAGAGCTCGCACTCGCTGAGCGGTGCGAGCTCGGCTCGCGGCGCTTCTCCAGCGACTCCAGGCCAGGCGCACAAAGAGGCGGGCTTGACATTGAGTGGGGCCCGGGGAGGGCAGGGGGGGAAATCGCCCAGAAGAGCGCAGGCGAAGTTTCCCTGTTTGAAGGGACCCTGAGGCGGCCAGGCGCGAGGGGCGCGAGGGGCGCGAGGGGCGGAGCGGGGAGGAGAGCGAGCCGCTTGAGCGCTTGAGCTGCGCTTCGCCGAGGCGAGACTGCGGATGTCGCGACGGTGGTGCGAAACTGGTGGGCCTACCCGGCGGCCGGAACCTCAGTCTCGCCTCGCCTCAGAGGCTCAGCCTCGGTGAAGAGACCACCGCTGCCGCCCGGTGCTTCAGAGGTGGGCTTCGGTGCAACTCTGGAGCTCCCGGTGCAGAAGTTCGAAGTCCTCGATACGGAGAAGACCGAGCTAGGCCCAGCCGCCAGCCGCCAGCCTTCTTTTCACGCGCTGATACAGGACGCCTCCAAAAAGGCTCTCCAAAACTCTCTTTCAGCCTGTGAGGCTCCGTGGTGGTGCCGAACAGCGGGCAGCAAAGTTTCGCAGAGCCCGAGATCTCGGAAGCGGCCGACGTCTGAGGCATCTTCGGCCTGCCGATTCGAAAGGACCTGATCTTCAAGGCATGCGCCGGCACACGCGCGCGCGCTTCTCTCCTGCTCTCTGTCGGACTCTCGCAGCCTAGGCCTACTGGTATCACCGCAGGAAGCTGGTGCAGGTCCCAGGCGGTTTCAAGTTTCAAGACGGGCTGTGTGATACGTTAACGGGAAGTTTGGACCGGGCCGGGGGGCGTGGATCGAGGCCGGGTATCAGGACACGATGCAGCTCTACAAGTGGGAATGGCGCGCGCTCCAAGCGCTCTTGCGCAGACTCGCGCTCTTCGGCTCTTGCGCTCTTTTCTGCCCTTCAGGCCCGGGGCCAACAAGAAGTTTCGCACTCAGAAGAAGCAGGGCAAGGGCCGCATGGGCCGGCGAAAGGCCCCCGGGAGGCGCGAGTCGCGCGAGCGAAAGCAAAGCGGGCCGTCGAGGTTTTGGGACACTCCGCGCCTCCCCCTCCGTGCAGGTTTGAGGGCTCCCATTGCCATGCCTTGCGGCCTCGCGACTGGGGTCGGAAGAAGATGAACGCCCGAGCTCTTTGGCAGGCGAGGAGCCTGGCAGCAGGGCAGGAGCAGGAAGAGCTTTCTGCGGCTTCTTCCGAGGCCGTGCGATGCATGCTCTCGGTGAAGTTCGTGCAGAACTCCATAAAGGCGACAACGCACGCAGGCTCAGCTCGGCGCAGAGCGTGTCTCTTCCTCGAGGTGGTAGACTCCTTCAACTTGCAAAGCCACAAGACCAAGCACCTCGTGGTGAGCCTATCCTTAGAGCACTTCTGCTATCTCGGCATGTCTTCGCACGATACTTGAAGCCATTGGAAAGGGAAAAATAAACTGCAGTGATGTGAAGTGGCGATGTCGGCAAGGTGCCAAGAGGGCATGTGTCCCTCGTTCGCGCAAGTGGCAAAACGCCAAGAAAGCGTGTTGCAGCCAAGAAAGTAGGGGCATAAACTGTGTAGTGTACATGAATGCATGCATACATGCATATGCGAACCGGTATCGACATAAAGACTATCACCCCGCCGTCTATCCATGCATCTTTCCGTCTGTTTTGGCTTCTGGTCTTTCAGAAGACTTTCGGTCCGCCCAGCCCCCCCCCCGCCACAATCCATATGGAAGGCTCCGTTCTTCCATCAATCCAATCATCCAGCTACCCGTTTGAATGGGAGAAATAGGACCCAAGAAGAGGACAGCCGCAACAGCCTGGGCCTGGGTGTGATCGCCTCCGTCGTCTACGGAGGACGTTGTCGGCGAGTTTGGGCGGGTCTCGGGCTTCCACTCTGCAGCCTCCAACCGGGCCTTGGGCCTTGGGGCCATCTTCGGCAAAATCTTTCTCCCACGTGGCGGGGGGGGTGGTCGGCAAGGGCATGAAGACAGGAAGATGCTGTTGGAGATTGTTAAGTCCATGACATCTCCGCATTCATAGGCACTGGCACGCCTGGACACTGCCAAGCAGCATGTGCCTTGGGTTGACGGGAGTCGGCCTCATGACAGCTTGAGCTGCCCTCGGTCCGGTTACAAATACGCAAGGAACTAAAGACTCGAAGAAACAGGCTATACAAAGTGAAGCGACACGCACGCAGCGTCGCCTGCAGTGTGCTATCACCCCATTCCCGCTCGCAGCAAGTGAAAGTGCCTTTCTTATTATTCACAGTGCCTTTCTTGTTATTCACGATGGATCGCGCTCCCCCCTTACCAAAGAAAAGCCGCGATATCGAGGGGGACAGGGACGCGATGTAGGATGGACACGAGAAGCGACGGGGGGTCGTGTCCTTCGGAAGAAGGGGCAGCCGCCTCAGCGCTTAAGCTGCAGGGCTCATCGAGCGGAGGCGGCCGAGGAGTCGTCCGACCGCACGAAATTCGCCGGTTGCGGGTTGCCACATGCTGACAGAGTCAGCGCCGTCGCGCCTTCTCAAAATCGAATTCAAGCAGCACAGGAAGCTGAATAGCGTCAATGTCGTGACGGCAAAATGCACAGAACAAACAGTTTCTGCATGCTTGCATCGGATAATCCAGACGAGGTGCAGCACCTCCGTCGTTTGCTGGGCCGCAGGCCAGACGCCCGCATGGCATGACCGCATCAGCGGGGCACGTGTTGTTTGTGTTCTGGAGGTGTCACAGCGCCCTGTTGGTGCACGAAGGATTCCGTTGAGAGCGAGCGGTGCCCGGTGACCATGCCAATGCGACTTGAAGGCCACATCGACGTGAACGACAACTGCCGTCCGGGACCGACCGCAGCACAGCAACTGCCCCCGTCTGAACGCTCCCTAGGCTGGGCCTCGGCACACGTGCCGGCCATCCGGCGAGAGAACGTGGAGGCTCGAAAGGAATGCAGTTCTTGCATCGTGTTTTTGTGTTGGCGGCTTCTGAGACCAGCCTGTGGTCACAGCCCCTTACCTCTGTGTGGCAAGGACCTTCAAGGACCTTTTTGCTCGATATGGCGTACGGCATATGCATTGTCTTCCAATCTGAACATTGCATATTTCCGCATGATTGCGCCATTCGCAACGCGCTTCTATTTGTCTAAGCATCTGCGAATGTGGGAATCTGCTTCCAGGGCAAAGACTATTTAAGCTATATGCTCTATGAACCAACATGGTTGCTTCTGTCTCTGCAGGTCCTCCATCATGTCAGCTGTTAGCGCCTGATCAGAAATTAGGGCTCTAGATGAATACAATATGATATACTTCGCAAGGTCTTCTACTTCTCCGTTTGTTTGGCGATGTTTCCATAGTCGAATCTCGCCAGACCGGAGCTGCACAAAGGCGCTCCACAGCCGTTCAGGGTCATCCCATTTACTGCGTCCTCTTCTTCGGAAGTCTCCACATGCCATGGCGCCCAAACTTGGCCGTGTGCTGTGGAGGCGCCAAGTCCAAGAACATCCAAGAACCAAGAAAAGGTATCTAAGGGCAACTGCCAGCAAAGCAAAAGGAAAAACCTGCAGCACTTTCTCGAAGCCCAGGGCTTGAGCGTCTACAACCTCCTCAAGTATCACCAGGCAGCGGCTGTAGAGCGGCAGCCCGAACCAGTGCCCAAGCGTGCCCAGGTAGTGATCACAGAGGCGGCGTTGACTAAGCTGCTGAAGGCATGGTCACGCTCCGCGCACGACGTAGAACCCAAACCTTCAAAAGATGTAGCAGGAGATCTTTCTCTTTCCACGTCGCCGGGGGTGGGCACAGCGCTTTGCCACGCCCGACCAGCGCCCTGCGCGAGGAGCTCGGACCCTTCTATACCTTGCATTCTCCAACTCTTCTCCTGTTTATCTCATGACAATACAACTCCCTTTTCGTTTCTCTCTCCTCTCTCTCTCCACTCTCTACTCGCCACTCTCTACTCGCTACTCTCCACTCTCCACTCTCCACTCTCTCTCTCTCTCTCTCCCTCTCTCTCTCTCCCTCCCTCCATACGACCCCGCCCCCTTCCTAGTGTCCCCTTTCCTCTCTTGTTCTTGGACAGCTTTCTGAGGCCGGTTCCTTCGAAGGTGCCGGGCTGGAACCGCGCCTGGGTGGAGAGAAAGGAGCGCCAGAGCCAGCTGCACCTCCACACTCCGCGATTCCCTTCCGCGTTCAGTTCCGCAACTCAACGCGATCCTGCGAGCGAGGAGCGCCTGAGAAATTCCGAGTTCCGGGCCCGGGAGTTCTTCCAGGCAGAGGGGTCTTCCAACATGGACATGGACATATGTTCTTACACATGCATGATACGACGTGTGTATGTATGTAAACACCAAAAACTACCGCGAGGTGCCACGCTACCGCACCAATCCTCCTACATTTAGGCCCTGTAGGCTTCGTGTGTACGATCGATGCTTCGCGCGGCTTAGATTTTGAAGTTCCGACGGGAGAGAGCATGTATGTCGTCAGCCGGCTTCATCCTCAATTCCTTGCGACCCTTCATGCAGATGCTCCCAGAGATGATTTCTCCGACCATAAAAGTCATGCCTGTCCAAATACCCAAAGCTCAATATGGGCCCGAGTATCAACTCCCAAGATAACCTGCACAGTAGTCTCAGATCAACGCCCCAGCAATACGTATAATTTGAGCCTTGACTGACTCCTACTCCTGAACGACAGTATCCCTATAAGATTTACCCGACCATTAGAGCTGACATTGGTCCCAATGGTGACAGTAGCGTTCTGTTTCATGTTAACCTGTCTGTAAGAAACGCCTTATCGCTCAATGCCATCGTTCGTATGGATTAAGATGTTAATCCTACTCGCAACCTCACTCTACATCCGTAATGTAGTCACATACATGATTGGCCCCCGATAGTAAGGATACTGCAGTCCCCTTGGCGACCCTACTTTGGATCTCACCCAGACATGGAGCTTACTTACACCGAATGCTTCCCTCAACAGCAACCCGATAATGGCCTTATTAGTAGGAGAAACCAGCAAGTCAATTAATCCGGATGTAGTGGTAGTATTCCGAGCATGTTAAACATCATGGCATCCCTAATACTATAGTTACTTGTGATTAATACAGGTAAGCTAGATCATGTCGAAACATGTACTTCAACGGTAGCCGTCATATTCATGCTGACATTAAACTACGCAGAACGAAATCCATAAAAAACCAACGATCCTTAGCTGTGTTCGCTCTGGCACTGCCCCAATGATGGCCCTTAGATTCACAGAAAGAGCTACAATGGGGCCTGCGTTTGTGAAAGGCAGGTTTCACAGTAGCCCTGGTGCATCTTCTTCTATCATGGCTTGATGGTTTGTGAATGGTTCCATCATCTGTTCTGTTTAATCATGTTGTCATGTCCACGACTCCGATCAGTTGAACATGGCGGAGCCTCGAGACGTGAAGAAGACTCGCGCGTTATTCGTTTCCAGCAATGTTGGCTTCGGCTCACTTTGCTTGGAATACCATGCCGGAAGGAGTTCCGGGTATGTGCATCATCACGTGTAGCATTTTGGCCTCACAACCACTAAGTTATCCGGCCCCTGGAGAAAGACGTACGCACAGCCGTCGTACACTCGTATACTACACGGCCTTCCGATTTGTATCCAATGGACAGACACTCGGACATCATAGGGAAGGAGTTGTCGCAGGAAACCCCCAAGGTGTATGAACACAACATGCTCCATCATGCACTTCCCGATACTACCCCCTCAGAGCAGGAAGGCCATCACGGAGGTGGCAGACGAAAGCACAAATGAAATGTGCCAAATGTCAATGCCATCATACCGGCATCACATTTGAAAGCATGAGCAGTTTTGCTCTGATGGTCTGTTCTGGCCTAAACCTCACGGGCCCCTTGAGCGTACAGGTTCGACATTCGTGCGTTGATTCATGGAAAGTAACAGTCGCTGCAGACTTCGTGGGCACGCAGCGTGGCGACGTCTTCAGTTGCCAATTGAGATTGGCAGCGGGGCCTGCGAATCCCAGCCGAGGAGCACCCCGCCTATCAGGGCGAGGATGCACCATCCCCTTCTCGGGTGAGTTCCTTCGAGGCTTGGATAGTGGCTTGGCGAAGTCCGCCACCACTGCTGAGGGCCTCAATGCCAAGACATACCGAGCATACCGACGAAGGCTTTTCTTAAAGCAGTGCGGAAGACGAGGCGCCTCTGTCGTTGTGGAGGGCGCCTTCTTGGGCATCTCCCTGACTGCAGGACACAGGCTGGGATGCTATTGAGCAGTTCAACCTCGACGAGATCGAGAAGTCCTCGGAGCCTTTCCAGCCGATCTTCAAGCTTCTGGACAGGCTGCCGGCCAGGTGTGACGAGTTTTTCCAGGAGTTTAGTCGTTTGAAGAATGAGGAGATGCAAGCCTACATCTTCAGGCACGCGACCCTTCATAAGAAGCTGAAGGAAGTTGGCATTGCACTTCCAGATGAGGATTCGGATTCCGGGCATAACTTCCTGTTCCAGGACCTCGACGAGTCCGTGAACATGGTGCTCCGGCTCGAGTCTTTTCAGGATAGGGTTGACTTTGCGTATGCCATGGCCACTCTGGGCGACATAGTCTTTGTGAGAGTGCGGAATCAAGCCGGCGATACCTTGCAAGCGCGTGGGTGGCTGCTAAGCTCATCGCTGCGTGGCCACTGCCGTCAAAGGGGTTGCCGAAACCAGCACGACGAAGGTCGGCCAACAGCAGGTTGGTTACCTCCGGATAGCTTGGACTTCTGACGGGAGAGTGAGCGAAGGATTACAGGCCCGCAGTAGAACGCCGCACCCGCGGGGCGAAGAAGCTAGCCGAAAGACCTTGCCCAGTTGGGCAGCCTTTTCGGGGGGAACTCGGACGTGAGCGACGAAGACGACGAGGAGCCCACGGAGCCGAAGAACCGCCGAAGCCAGGCCGCGAGCTCGATGGGCATGTTGGCCCCAGGAGCAGCTGGCGTCAGAGCCCGACGCAGCAAGGATCCCGCCAAGAAGCCGGCGGCCAAGGGCTAGATCTTCAAGAGATATGGCCCTAAGCCTTGCACAGGGTGCAAACGCCTCCGACACGATGCCACTGCTCATGATGAACTACCTCATGGAGGAGCAGCGAATCGAGAATCGACCACGGCAGATCTATCAGGAGTTCGAGCCGGAGATTGCGGAGGAGCTGGGAATAGTGGCCGGGCAGGCATGTATCTTGAAGGAGGCGTCAGCCTTGGGGAAAGTTCAAGGGATCTGTCGCTGCGCGGTCATGGACACCCAAGTCTACGAGAATCTCCGCGCGGGAAACTCGGAGGCGGCAACGGCTCAGCTTTGCAGAACATGAAAGCAAAAGTGCAAGCAGTGCTTCAGCAAGGGGACTGGTCCGCCACTTGGCTGCTGACAGGTCTGGCAGACCCGCTGGCGAAGAAGGAGTTCGGAGGGATCAAAGAGGAGCTAGCGGTGGTCAGCGGATACATGGACGCTTAGGCGAAGCTCCGGAAGCCCATGAAGGAGACAGGCCACGGAGGAGGAGCCGCCGACGACGAGTGAACTCGTCCTGGAAACTGCAGGGGAGCCACTGGAATGCTCCACTGCGAATTGGGCCAAGCTTCTCATGAATGTCGTGGTGCTTCTCGGAGTGCAGGGATAGCTGCTATGAGCCGCGGGTGGCGAGGCTCCTCTCGAACAGGCTGCTTGGCGAGGTTATGGCTTTTTGTTCCCCGGATTTGCTTACGGCTTACGGATTCCTTAGTTTAGACGGGAAGATCGATGGACGCTCTCCTTCAGCCTGACAGCAAGTGAGGCTCTACCAGTGCATGGTGGTGCCAGAGGAGGCCGGGCAGGTGAATCCAGCAGACTGGCTGGATCCTTGAAGGCGGTGGTCTTTGAAATCCTTGAGAGTTTGCGCCTACCCGAAGAAGCTTGGCAGGAGATTCCAGTTAGCTGCCACCGAGTTCCTCTCGAGCAAGAGGCCGCAGTGATGCAGAAGTTGCTTGACACGAACATGGAATAGTTTTAGTGCCGGAGTCTAAACTGCCTACGGCACAGGACGGAATAACAGCAGCCTTTTTGGATGCTGTGGACGTCCGGTACGGCAGAGATGCGTTGGAAGCTCGAGGGGGCGACCGTTCCTTTAGTCCGCTAACTGCTGTCTGTAAGCCTATAAAGTTCGCAACGGCCAGGCCTGGCGCGCTCACCGACCGCACTAGATTCTGAGACCCAAAGAGTGGCCTGAAGGCTGTGAGCTCCATCCGCGCGTCGCGATCAAGAATCGCATGTGGCGGCATGCAGTGCACTTAGCCAACTGAGCTGACGGATCCCTTTCTTCCTCGAGCACCCCCTGTGCAGCAAGAGCAGTGGTGAAGACTTGCCCGGGCTGTATTTCGCACGGGGAACCGCCGCGAGGGACTTGTGCTAAACAGACTGGCGTTTATCCTCGGGCCTTCTGCGATGACAGGGCGTCTCCAGAACGTCTCACACCGGCACCGCCTCTAGACGCAACCTTGGAGATGCAGCTCTTTGGCTTCTCTCCCTGTGTGCTCGGCTATAGGACTGCGGGTTACTCCTCGATCCTCGGTTCGTGACATAGACTCATAGACCATGCACTTACAAAGGCCATTGAGACTGCATGCAAAGAGGGGGAGAGGTTGTACTGGCCGTCGAAATCTCGGGCCCCGATCACTCACGTGGCTCTGGAAGTTCTTCTTTTGATGTGCCTCAGCAGGGGCCAGCACGCTCATGGGTGAGACCGTCACCTTTGGTGGGCTTTCGCGCTGGCCTCATGGTTGGCCTTCTTGGGCCTAATGCATCTGCAATAATCAGTCTCCGCCAGAAAGATCTGGAGGCTGGTCAGGCGTGTGGCCCAACGCCGACCCGACCGACGACGACATGTGGCCAAAGTCACCCTGTGAGCTTCGTCATCACCGACGCCAAGTTCCTGTACGATGCAGCTAACAGCATGTCCGCCGGACTGAAGCTGGCTGAGAGACGAAGCGCCATCGGAGGACACTGGCGCAGCAGTTGGCGGATGGCCGTACGAAGTTGAAGGCTGCTGCTATAGCCTTGTGCTTGGAAGCCTTCTCGCGAGGCGTAGTGAGCATGAAGTTTGACGAGGCAATGAAGGCTTCGAAACAGACCCGGCAGGCGGAGTTGAACGAGCTGGGCAACGCAGCCAAGGAGCTACAGGAGGTGAACACCGCCGTGGCCGGGATGCCCCTCTGCAGACTACCCGGTTGCGACAAGCCAGTCCTGAAGGCATACCAGACCGGACACAAGTATGGCCACGAATGGTGGAGGTGGAGAACGAGCACGAGCGGTGGCGGCAGTTCTATTAGCTTCTCAAGCTGATCACATGCTGAAGGTTTCGAGGTCTTCGGGCACAAGGAGATGGACGCCTACGTGATCGTCGACTTCCACTTCTTCGGCGTGTTTCTGGCGGTACATAGTTGTCGCCCTCACATGGTGGTGGTGGCACAGGACTCCGACTACGGGTACTACACGATTGATTGACTTCAAGCTCTTCAACGTGGACAACGCGACCGACTTCGAGCACTTCGACGTTTTCTACGGCAAGTACGCAGACAGGGAACTTTCAGACCAACGTGGAGGTGCAGACGGTGGAGTACACGCTTCCGGAGGTCGAGCGTCTACGCGCAGAGTTGGTGAGGCAAAACGAGCAACTTCTTAGATGTGCGGCTGAGAGGATTCGCTACGTCCAGCGCATCAGTGAGCTCCACGAGAGGAGCCGCGAGCTAACAGAGTCGCGCCGGATTCCGCTACCGCCGGCACCTGATCGTCGGCCTGCCCGTATCCACTGTACGACAGTTGGTCGTCGCTACCATGTATAAGGGCTGACCGTGGGCACATCCGGAGCTACGACTCAAACGACCTTGACGCCGTCTCAAGACTGCAGCCTCTGAACCGTGAGATATTTGTCACAAACGGCAGATGTCGGCAGTCGGCAGAGGGTAATTTGAGCTCAAACCCAGAGAGCTCATGTGCGCGGTGTGCAGACAGACACGGGCAATTTTAACTTTTCTCCTCCAGTGTCAATGCCAGCATAGTGGCATGACATTTGCAGGGATGATCAGTCGTGAACGTGAGGTGCTCTGATGGTCTCTTCTGGCCTAACCCTCAAGGGTCCCTTGAGCCGTAGAGGTTCGACATGTTTTCAGGATCCCTGCGTTTACTCTCCCCCAGAACCCCACTCATTGTTTCCCTACACCATAGTTGCCCGCGCAACACCTCCTCCTCGACCTTTTCGTCGATCCAAGCCGCGGCCTCAGGGCTCAAGCGGGACCGGTGGTCCGGTCGGGACGGTGTCGTGTTGGAGTTCTTGGCAAGGGGCTGCGGCCTTTCTGTCGATCATCTCGGCCAACACTTCTACGTCAGCCGCATGACCAAGACCACCTCTCTAATAGGTCCTTGACCTTCCCGAGGGCCAAGCCTTCCAAGACTTGGGGCCTCCGTCCTGCGAGGGTCTGCTTCCAGCACCGTTTCTGAGTATTAAAGTCCGCCCTCACACGATCCCCGACTCGCTCCTTCACCGCTTCCGCCCAAAACTTCTCAGCTTCGATGTAAACGGCCTTCATTTGCTGCACGTCTTGATTGATTTCCTGCCCTCTGGTTGTTCTTCGCGATCTCCAAGGCCTCTTCTTCCGCCTTGCTGCGGTTCTCCTCGGCCGGCACAGCCGTAGCGATGGACTCAGGCTCCGCCAGGGGTTGTATAAGTTAACCCGCCGCGGGAGCCTGATCCTTACGCATACAAGCCACGTGCGCAGCGACAAGGGACGCACCACACCCCCCCAGCGGCCTCCTCATCCATTCCCGGACCGCGCAACTTCGATCTTCTCCGTGGGAGGCACTCTGAGACCCAGCTTGGTCTAACTGCCTCGCCGGCTTGTACCCCAAGACGCCGCCCCTCATGAGGTGGACCTTCGTAATCACGCGCTGCACGAAGGTTGTGCGGTCACTTCCAAAGTCTCCTTCTGTTCCACTTCTTCGAGGGAAACCGCTCGCCATTTCACGCGAATCGCACCATCCAGCACCGGGTAGTACCTGAGTAAAGTCAACAATCGGGCTTGTAGGCAACTAGGTCCGCTCGCCAACCTCCCTTCTCCAGGCTTCTTGCGCTCCCTCGGATCCGGGATCTCTCTCGGAGCAGGGCTCGCCCGAGCTGTCTTGCTCTCTTCTAACGCCCTGTCCTTGTCCTCTATCATTTGACCAGGCGAACGAACTATATATTGCCTCGCCCGTCAGCGATGCTTCCAAATGCCGGAGCCGGATTTCTCTCGGATCTTCCAGGTCGGCAGCGCCACGAGGAACAAGGATCAAGTCCTCCGGCACGCTCGCTGAGCTGTTTCCTCCACGGAGTCCGCCGGCCAGCTCGAGTGGAGCGGAGCCGCGGGTCTCGGTAAAGAACCCAGTCGTTCAACTCGAGCTCCTTTTCTTCCTGAAACGGCTAGCGAGCCACGCTCCTTTACGGGTTGAGGTACGTATGAACAAGAAAGTTATGATAAGGTATGTGCGTGACTCAGGACTATGATTCCGCTTTGTTTCCTGAGTCAAGTCACGAAGAGTAGAGGCGCAGCATGTATATGTGCCGTGGTGACATTTCGCGGTAGTTCATGGGGGTTAGCATGAATCATTTGCTTTGCTCGCATTCAGTGGAGTTCGCAGCTTAATTAGGTTGCAGGTTCGGGCGCCAGGGGCCGAAAAGGCCTGGCGAGGGCTGATTGCCAAAAGTCTGCTCCTGCGATCAGATTTGG